ATGTAAATATCACAGCTGCTTGCTTGTTTTCTTATCTGATCTGAACCCTAAAGCAGAAGTCCCAGCAGGGACCTTCAGTAGGAGGAACTGGACTCCAGGTTGGCCTACAAAATGACATCATCACTGGAATTTTCTTTTTCCTGCTTTTGTGTCCACATCATGGAGCTGTGAGCTGTGGGTGGATGGAAGCTTCAGGTCTGATTTACTACTGTTATGTCACCTCTCTACGCGTGTGTGTGTGTGTGTGTAGTAGGGATGGGGGGGTGGTAAGGAAGTAGGGAAGTTCCCCTCCCCTATAGGTTGCCACATTGACCACCACCCACCGTACACACACAGAGTCTCGTCCTGGATTGTGTAATGAACCAAATAAATGTTTTCTGTATCAGTATTGACTCAAATATGTTGTATGAAAGTGGAACTGATGAACCTACCTAGAATCCAAACTAACTCTGCAGCTCTACTGAGCCTTTCAGCCTCTTTTAGGTCAATGTTTTGGTTTTAACGGCACATTTGCTGTCGGTTTCAGTTGCTTTCATCAGCTTTGTTTCCACCAGCAGCAGCAGGCAAACAGGCTCACTGTACGCTCCCAGCAAACAGCAGAGAACAGACAGTGATAGATGGAGAAGTTTACCAGCTGGTGAAGAAAGTGGGACATTAAGCAGCTAAAGATGAGTTGCTGGAGACCGAACCAGAGCTGAAAGATTTATATTCATCGTGTAGACACAAACATGACTTTAGTGGGAGGATAATGTTGCTCCGTGTCTGCGGAAACTGGAAATGAGCCGCTGTTTGCTAAAAAGTTAGCTAGAGCAACTTCATAAGAGCTGTGTCTACTGACGGCTCCTCAAGTGGCCAAAAATCACTGACTGCAGCTTTAATATGCAACTTTTGAATTGTATTTTTTGTCTTGAGACAAATTAAAATCTCACAGCACACTATGATATATTTAATCCTGTTTATTTTAAAGGATTTCTGTGATCTGAGTGACACGCATTGTGAAATCACTTTGGTTTTTTAGTGGTTAAATGAAGCCAAAAAATATGTCAGCTGGTAGATTATATCAAACATGTGCAGAACATGATTTATTATGTTTTCATAGAAAATATTATTTTCTTCACCTTTATTGTAAAAACCTACAAAAAGTTTCCTAATTTATTGTCCAATGAGAAACATTTGTTCTCCCTTTGAATTTGAAAAAAAATACAATAACTGATGCATGTTGTACTAATGTTTAAGGATTCCTCTTATCTTAGATTTCAAAATAGTTTTTATTTACAAGCTCAAAATTTCTCATTTATCCCCCAGAAATCAACAGTCAGAGGAACTGAACTTGACTTTCATGTATCATTACTACTGTAAGTCTGAAGAAGCATGGAAGTGTCCTGATTTGATGTCATGAACCTAGAATCTGTTATTCTTGTGTTGAAAAAATACAACTTTGTCCTTTTTAAAGTAAAAGTGTAACAGGGTAAAATATGGGTAGCAAGTTCTTCCCAGTGGTGACCTTCTGCCAAAAAACCAAAAACAAACTGGTGACATTTACAACAATTTTCTTAAAAAACTTGAAAACAGGAAAGTCGAAAAATGTACAATTAATCATTAGAATGTAAAAACATGCATAAACTTAAAATCAGCTAAACAAATAACACAAAGAAACAATATGAAACACATCAAGTGCAAATCCAAAAATGGGAGATAAAAGACTAAATAAGTCTGAACATCAATTAAACCATAAAACCAG